TTTTTACCAGTTTCTGTTGCTTTTCTACTATGTGCTTCAGAGACCGAAAATAGCTACACTGCTGAGAATGAGTAGGGAGGCAGAAAAGCAGCAGGAAAAATTGCTAGCTGTATCTGCCTAAACTTAGCCATTATTTGACAAAATAAACCTTTTTCACTTCCTTCCCTTGTGACAATTTATCTCTGACCAAAGTTTTGCTTTTATTTCTTTATTAATAAATCTATTTACCCCTTAGTGAAGAGGATTACTTACTGCTCTAATTTGCTAATTCTTCACACCTTTTTTTTTTAGCAGTGTAATAGCTGATAGCCTCTTGTTTATGGGAGGCCCAGCCTTGGGCTGCAGCTAGCTCCTGAGCTGTGAACAAATGTTTTTCTAGTCTGGGAACTGTCTTAAAACAGCAGTGCAATGCTTATGAAATGGGAGTATAAGCTAATTTATAACATACTGTTCTTCTGTTGTGAGGAAGTAAATACTTTGCAAGGTAACCGAGCACCTCCAACCAGCTCAGCTGCCTGCATCCGATGTGTGTAGCTGTGGGTGGAAGTTTTGGTGGTGTTTCTGAACAGCGTGCAAACAGGCTTGTTACTGCTTAGCTATATTCACATCACTGGGTAGAAATAAGTCTTTGTCAAACCGCATTGCTTTGTAGTGGCTGACCTTGTTTAAAAACCTGAACTTACAAAATAGATTTTGTTTCTGACAGTCGTTTCTCAGCAAGTTAAGTCATGCTCGGCAAGTACCTGGGGGGCAGGAACATCCTCTTGTAAAATTTAGTATCGGCCTGTTTAAGGAGAGTACCACTTCAGCTCAGCAGAACCAGCAGAAGAGAGCCTTTGAGGTGCTTAATCAAGGGATTGGTATCAGCTTTTGGGAAATGAAACAACCATACATTCCCATTAAATAAATATAATTGAAAAGCTGCAGTACTGTATATTTTTGGTATACTTTGCCTGTAAAATGTCTTGAAGTTTGATGCAAGCTGTTGAGGAGTATTTACCAGAGAATGCATTCCCCATATAATGAGTTAACTCGTGGCTTCAGTTAGGTTAGATGGAAATACAGAAGCCCTTAAATAGGAGAAGTGGCTGGGGACGCTGACCTGCCAGGGCATGCTGCTGGATAAGTTAGGCTGACAGTTGTCTTTGTACCGCCTGTGGTTTGTGTGTAAGTCTAGCACCAGACTGTCTAAGCAACATAAAACTGATTTCAAGAGCCATGAAAAATGTATTAAGAGACAGGTTATAACAAAAATGGAAAAGTTTACATAAATGGAAGTGTCTGGTTGCACAAAAATAACAGCTAACAGGTGGTTAGTACTAACAAGGTAAATAGAAATAAATTATGGTTTGGATGCAGTGCTGTTGCCTTGTTGAAGATACCTAGCAATTTAATAAGCTCCAGGAACAAATTCCTAAGGGCCCGGTCCTGCATTGCACTCTGCAAATGGATTTAATTGAATTGTAATGAGGCTAGTTATGGACAACTGTTCCACTTACACACAGCTTATTGCAGGATTAGGTTTAAACTCCTCAGTACAACATATGTTAGAGTGTTACTTCAAAATTAAAAATTTCAAGCTTTGGGGTGGGCTTGTGGTCTTCAAAACCTATGAGGTTGACAATATACTAAAAATGGTGGCATGCTTTGTGTTCCTGTTATAAGCAAGGAACTTCATTAATAAAGAATATGTTCGTACATCCTTAAATATTAATAGCCAAACTTATGCCTGTGAGAGAGATCATTCTGAACAAGATGATTTTTTATTCCTGGAAGTGTTTGCATATTGACAGTTTTAAAAGAGCAACAAACACCTCCAAATATTTGTTTAGAAATAAAATTGGCTATAGGGCTGACTAATGTTGTTGAGGATTGGGATCCAATTGTGTGACATATCAAAGGAGTCTGGCAAGCTCAATTCCCTGAATGGGAGCTCTGAGGGAAGAAGCAGTCCCACAATGGCAACTTGTGCCACACAATACAATTTTCATCCTGAGATGTTTTCTCTGGAGGTGAGAGAAGCATATTTTAGTGAAATGTATGATTTCATCATCTTTTAGGTGGAAAGCAGGCAAAGTTTGAGGCTTCTATAGGAAGGATGAGCTGAAGTCATTTAACCTGCATCTTGCATATCAAATTATTTTCTTCTCACTGCAGACAAAGTATTTGTCCACTTCTAATTAACTTGCTCTCAGGCTTATGTATAAACCTGTGCTGAAACATAACACTATAATTACTACCCAACTGTTTTTAAATAGGTAAAAATGACCTATCAATACATTATAAACAGAGATAACTGAATATTTTATTAACGTTTTCTGAAATCGTCAATTATTTCTATTTGGATATCAATTAGTTTGCTTTTAAACAGAATTCAGAGTAGTAGCATTCAATTCACTTACTCTAAATTAGATGGCAGTATGTTTCACTTAATATAAATTGTGTGTGATTACTTACAATCAGTTTAAATCGATAAGTTTGTGATGGATTTTTACCCTGTGCTGTGGTTTCCCAGTAATAAATCCCTTGTTTAGTCCAGAAGGCATCGCTTCTTTTGGCAGCTTTCCACGCATTTCAGTAATGAGTATTGGATAGGCACAGTTTTAACAAATCAGCGTTTAAGAAAAAAAAGTCCCTGTAGAGGATAAATGCATTAAAAAAAATCAATTTAACTCAACTAGCCCCAATTCAAATGAATAGAATACTCAGCTTTAAGAATCTTAAGAGACTGTTCCTTGTGGCAGGTACTTGTACATATCCTGGCCTAATAATTTTAAATTTATTAATCAAAATGCTTTGTCTGTAATTGAAGGGTTGGAAACTGCTGTAACTTTACAAAACTCGTGGAGGATAGGTGCAGAACGTTATTTTAGTTTGCTTAATTGAGTCCCAAGCTGGGGTGACTTGTTCCTGAGGTTGTGCCACCGATCTGCAGAAAACATTGTCTTTACCCCACAAGAGAAGGCTAATGTGAACCAGAGGAGTTGTTCTGGAAAAATTTCATCGAGGTCACAGAACATAATAAAAGACAATCCTCTCATCTCCAAAACTGCTTGTTTGGATTTGGTTTTTAATGGGAGTAGGGAAAAGAGCTCCAAAAGCACTGGTAAGGCAGCAGGCACTTAATGGATGGTGACGCCCTGGCTTCTGTGGATGACTTTGAGTGATAGCTGGCTGGTGAGATGAGTAGGAAAGCTGCTTGTGATCTCCTACACGATGAAGGAAGACACTGGCACTAGTGGTGATGGAGCACAGTGAAAGCCAGCCTGGCTGTGGCACTGCACTGGCAGGAATGACAGCCTCCATCCTCCCGTACTGTTGAAAATCCTGGTGGAAAATCTGTTGGTCTACAGCATATACTCAATTTAATCACATGGGAATGGCTTTGGTAATTAATTGAAGTAGAATGCAGAAATCAATTTTCGTCTTTCTGGAATGGAAAGCTGCTTCTAGGCCAGGAAGCTGTTCCCCATCTCTCCTCTGAGCTCTATTCTCAGACTCATTTATGCTGTAGTGTGAATATACGTATGCTCAGTCTTTCTCCCATTTCATGCTTCAGCTCCTGGTTATAAAAGGCACACACTAACAGAGTGTTGCTTCCCAAGCCTGAGCAGACTTCATGAAGCAATTCTTAGAAGAAATAAAGCATGGAAATGAATTAGTGAAATTCTGAGCTTCAAAGACCACCAAAAAAGCCAGGCAGGGCCGAGCACTGCAAGGTCAGGCAGTTGGGAGGCAGCAATGTAGTGAAGATCTGCAGGAAGAGAGCAATGCAGTATAAATCACCTGGTTGTTTTGTTGTTAGCACAGTAGGTTAAGGATAACTTGGATAAAACCTCTGGAACTTTAATGCAAGCATCAGGGCTGAAAATGTACCAGCGTTGGAGTTCCTCCAGCTCTGAGGAACAGGTAACTGTTGAACCAGCTGTGCCAAGACTGCATGGACAACTTTCTTGGAAACGCCGTGGACCCTCTGAGCCTTTCCCTAGGATAAAACTGCAGCTTTCTGCTGAAGTGCCCTGAGTGACAGCCTGGGCCGTTGGCTAACTGGCCGTCAGGGGAGGCATGCGCTCTGCAGCAGCAAGCCCCATGCAGGTGCCTCTGGGCTGGCCGTGTTTCACCTGCTGGCTGCTGTTCCTTTGTATGCAATCGGTCCATTTTTCATGCTATTCTTGAGCACTCACGTCCTTTAGGAAGCAGGTGGCAGTCATGGAGCTCCTGCAGCCAGGAGGGTGGTGAAGGGACATTTAACAGCATGGGTTGCCTTTTGTTTTTAAGGGATCTGCTGGCTGCCTTGGCAAGAAATAGAAACTGTTCGTGGCTATTTCTCTTCAGCAGAACAAAGTGTGCTGGGTTGTACATTCTGGTCCTTCATCTGTTTTCCCTGGGATGGCGCAGGGGTTCTTAGCGTTTGTTAATAGACTAACCTACAATCTCCACATATGTGCTCTGTGTGTTTGTGCCAGGCTTATGCCCCCAGCCTTCCTCCTGCTGCTTTTTCAGAAATATGTTATTAGTCCCTCAACACGAAGGATTATTTTTTATCTGGGCTACCTAAGTGCTCTAATTTGTAAAGTAATTTCCCCTGAATTCAGGTCTTGCATCAAGGCTAACGCCAAAAGAGCTATTCAAGGTGTGCATGCATGTGTATAATTTTACGCTTTTAATTCATTTGATTTAGCTGAGGCTATTAGATTCCTGTTGTTCACAGTATGGCTGACTATTTGTAGGCTACATAAATTAAATATTCCTTTCCTGGTACTGTGTAACTTAACAATTAAAACTACCTAATAATATTCTCCCATATAACTCCGTCACATGCTCTTTAATCTCAGAAATACTTCACAGGGGTAAGGTGCAATGTTACCACCCCCAGCCCCTCTGCCCCAATTTTTCCTTAAATGGCCCAAAGTTGTATTGCACTCTTATCCAATTGCCTAACAAACGTGATGGCTGAGCTAATAAAGTCACAAAGACCAAATCTGTAGTCAATTGTACAGACTTACTGGCCAGCAAAGAACAACATCAAAACTTGTGTGTCACATTTTTGGGATCTAAGATTACTTCGGAATCAGTCATTTTCTTTGTAATGAGGATGGATCCTCTTCCCAATAGCAATTCTCCTGGACTCCGTTATAATACAATTTGTATTTATTCTTTAGGTGAACCATTTTAATTTATTTTTGGTGAATAGCTTAATGATAACCAGCTAATGAGACGACTGCGCATGTTGAGAATGCTTGTTCCAATAGGAATTGTGACTTTGTGTGATACCGTTTTTTCTATCCTGCTTTGTTTGTGTGCCAAATGGTAGTTGTGTACCATGTTCACCTCTCATGCTGTTTTTCAAAAGCTTCTGATGGTGGAAACCACACTTGAATGCTAGCTGAATCTGTATGTATTCTATCATTTGTGGAATTAATATGAAAAGAAAAAAAATACGCAAATTAATCTTTTCTGTATATCCATTGGAACTTTAAATTTAGGGGGAAAACGTTTGTCCATGTTATTGTCACCAGTCCTCTCATGTTAAAAGATTTGTTGCATCTTTCTGTTACTTCTAAATCTAGAAAGCTACCTAGGTTTGGAGGGTGTACTTTTCCTCTTAAAAACAGGGATGTGGTAGACTAGACCAAACTGCCTATTTGCAAGGAACACCTCTGGAGGAGCTGTAGTCAATGCCCAAAGGTCTGGTACGGTATTTCTTCCTTGTGGCTGCATGTACTAAGGAATTGTCTTTCCATTTCAGGCTGCTGCACCGGTGTTTCAGAGTGGAGAAAACTTCCTATCCTGGACACTTGCAAAGGATTTGTTTTTTCTAAAGTTTCAGTAGGAGTGATTAATTGCTTTGTAATAGGCCATAATATGGACATGTGCTCTTAGGTAGTCATCTTCCTCACTCATGTACAGTAACCATCAGAAAACTTCTCTTTGTGTCCAAGACTATTCATGGGGAGCTAACAAGCCTGCTCTCCCACTCATAAACTTCAATTTCAACATCGCTTGTGAGACATTGGAAAAGTGCCCCACAGCCTGTATCTTATGGCTTCTGTGAGCCAGGGCACGAGGAGGTTTGTGTCCAACTTGCAGTGTGCGTGGCAGGGAGTCAGTCACTTCCACTCGAATGGAAACTGGTTTTGAAAAATACTTGCCCGAGAGCAAAGCTGAAAGTAATTATAGCACATGAGACCAAAGTTGGAACCGTTGCTGATAGGCAATGAAAAATGTCTGTCTGTTGAAGACAGTGCCCATCCTTTTCTCTTTATCACAGTGTCTGGTTTACACTCACTTGGCTGTAATTGCAGCACTTAGCATTTCTCATTGTTGGAGCCTTTCAGGTGTCATTCCTTCAGTGCCATAACTACTGGGCTTCCTGACCTGTGCTTTAAAGCCCCTCTTGAGGTGTTGCAAGGCGATAGCTTAGGGAAGAAATATGTTCATTATTACTCCTTTTTTCTCTGCTTATGGAATCCACAGCAATTGCACAATAGCAACTGATAAGGAGCCCTGTGATCTTAAGTGGAGTTCCAGTGAGGTACACAAGCCTGTCGCGGTGGTGCCTAAGGGTTTGCAGTTACTTTCAGCATGTTTACTGCATCCAAAGCAGGCCAGATGAAAATGGGTTCTTGTGATGGGTATTGACCAGGCTGCCATCTTTGCTTTTTTTTTTTGGTATTGCTCAAGACCGTTTGCCAGTGCATCACAGTTCAACATGCTATTTTTCTTCCTGTGCCTTTTAGGCAAGTATCTGAGCCAATGCCTGCAGAAAGTTTTGCATAAGGCTGTTAGCAAAATTCCTACCCGTAGCCACCTACGCTCCTGCTGAAGCCTCTGGCTGAGCAATCCTGCTGTCTTCGGTAGGAAAGGCAGCAGCAACAGACTGCAGCTGAATCCTGAGAGGTAACAAGCCTGCAGTCAGGCTGTGATCCCCAACAGAAGCAGTTAGTAAACTCATCACCCAGGAAGGATATGTGTGCTTAGTGGGTGCAGGATGCCTTGAACAGTGGGGCATAGGTCTCCTCTCCCACATCCCGTTGCAAACTGGTGTGGAACAGTGTATCTGGCACATTGTTAGACACTTTGAGATGCAAGGCTGGTCCTTTGCTCTCTAAAGCTGCTTTGTGTGAACAGACTGTATGATTTCTCCTGGCCCTTGCATGTGGCTTGAAACGTGCGGATGGTTCTGGTGGAGGTACGCTTGAACACCTTGAGATTAGCCCCTTGGAAGTCTGATTTCTCCATGCCTTTTAGAGCAGCGGTTCTTTCCAAGGATTCATTAGTATGCTGCTGTGTCACCTCCCAAATGCTTTTCGTCTTTGGGTAGCTGTGCCCATTACTACAGACTTGCCAAACATCTCAGATCTTTGCCGTTGTTACAGCTGATCCACATTCCTATGGATGATTTTGCATTTCAGTGTTGTGAAATTTCAGAGGGGACTCAACTTGCCTTCTGCTCATTAGTTGTTTCTGGAGACATCCCTGCTGATGTATACTGAACTCTGACAGGTAATAGGGCTGCAATCAGAGGAGGCAAAAAAGTGTTCTCTGCAAAAACTCTTCCTCCCCTTGTTCTCCTTTCTCCAAGAAAAGGTACGTGAGCTGGAGGATGCTGAATTCGAACAGCAGAAGGTGTTGGGTCCTGCTCACCTCCCCAGGAGAATGGGGAGTGACAGGTTTAAACTCCCTATTGCCCTCCTGGCTTGCTGCAAGAGTTGTGTGTGACCTTGTGTCAGAGGCATGGGAATCCACCCAAATCCTGCATGTCTGTGCATGTGACAAGTAGTGTTCTTTAACCTTGGCTTGGTGTGAAGGCAAACTGCCTGAAGAAAGAACTGGAGTCAGAGGAGAAGGAAGCATTGCTCCACCAGAAACTGGGAGGTCTTTACTTGCTGCTCTTATTTTTATGCTTTACAAAGAATGAACAAGGAGAGCGTGAGACTCCACTCATAAATAAAATCCTTTACATAGTTTGCAAACTCAGGCAATTACATTTGTGTTCAATTAATGTTAAGCCACTGAAGATTCAGTGCAAGTGCATTCAAATTTCCCTTTCTCCAGTCTAAAACCATTTATCTCAAGTGAGACCCGGAGGTAGCCTCTTGTGAACGTACCCGCTGGTTAACAAGTAATCTGCTAAAGAAAATAAGTGCTTCTTTTACAACAGTATTTTAAAGATTTCTGTATGTGCTTTCTTGTGAGAAAGTGTTTTCTGCAAGGATCTTGTGGTTCCTTTGGCAAGAGGTGACTTGACAAATGTGCTGTCCCTGTAAACAAAACAGCTATGTTTCAAAACTGAAGTCTTTTGATCTGTGTAGAAGGGATGGATTTCCCCCCCCCACACACAACTGCATTCTTAGGTTAAGTTGCAAGTCTAGTGAATGAATCAAAGACTTGGCTTTAACAAGTCCCTATCTTAAAAAAAAAAAGGAGGGGGGAAGCATTGGGATGAGGTTTATGACATTTCTTCTCCCCCCCATCTCTTGCTGTGAAGGTGATAGTATTAAATTCATGTTGTCAAAACATCTGACCAGTGCCTTGGCCTCTGTGTATCTAATGACCAGTGAACTTGAGTTGAATGTGGAAGCTTACAGAAGCTTAGGTGGGAGCTTGTAGGTTAGCTACAAGACAGAGCTGCTTTTCATAGTGGTTGTATGCTCAAACATATATATATATTTTTTTTTTGCCACTGCTATGCTTCTTGACGTTTTGCAGCTTGCATCCTCTCTCTGCCCTCTGACTTAGAAAAAGGATTGTCTGCATGGTTTCTGCTGTGGTATGTTTTCATTTCAATTGCAAGTGGCTATTAGTATTCCACAAATAACCATTCAGGCACTTGGGTTTCTCAGCAAAAGGAGAACTTAAAACAAGAACAAATGTGATATTTAAGATAGATGTTTTCAGGAAAGCTTATGGGTTGTGCCCAGAGACTGCCAGACTTCCTTAGTGACCTGGGTTGATTCTCTGATTGTCTCCCAATGTTTTTTACGTGCAGTTTTTCTCTTTGTAACAAGGACAGATCATCAAACTTGTGTTGTATTCTTATTTCCCTCACCACCCGCCCCCCTAACACCACCACCATTAGGCACAGGGAGATGTCCTATTGCTTAATTACCAAAAAGCAAACTGGAATTAAGTGCTTTTTCCTGAAGGAGTTGGGGTAGCTTGTACCCTTGGGGACTTCAGGAGCTCAGGGTGCTAGGAGGGAGCCCACTGTTCCTCTTGGGCTGTGGCACTTGGTAACCATCCCTTGGCTCTGTCCTGTGGCTTTCTCCTCAGCCTTGTCTTCTGACTCGAGTTCATCCGTGTCGAATAAGCATGGCTAAAGCTGAATTGCCGAATCCTGGGGACTGCAGCGGAGTTGGTACGTAGCAGCTAACTCCTCGGAGAAGAGGAGCAGTTGGTGTTCGCCATGGCTGAGTGCATCTGAAGAACATAAAGGAATTTGGGATGCACAGACTGTAATGTCTTTCATCTTGCTAGTGTATTACCCTACAGGATCCTTTCTGGGAGCTTTGAAATTTTTCACGATTAAATGGAGCTCTCAAGTGACCTATTCACTTGTCCTCCCGTTCCTGTGAGGGAGGGAGTCTTGGATCACTGGACTGTTAGCACAAGGACATTTTTAATGCAGAGAAGTTGTTTGTTGTGTTTTCTTTCTATTTTTCTTTCTATTTTTCTAATAGTTGAATTGGGCTGGTTCCAGCCCAAATTTATAATGAAGCCCTTCTGTATGTTTTGAAGGGCTGAAAGCATAATCACTACTTTCTCATTTAAATTCTAAAATTGCCTTTCAAATCTTACCTTTGTCATTTCTTTTGTAAAAGTCTTCTCTGGCCTTTTGAGGGATGAGCAAACACAGTTTCAGTACTGTGATTTCTGTAAAAGGCTATAAACGACTCCCTGTGCTCTTAACACAAAATTTACATAATCCCAAACCACACTATTGAAAGAGTAACTTCTAACCACTTAACTACATTTAACTTTTGTAAAGTTGGATTGGTGTCTAGGGAGTCTTGGGGGCTGTGGTTTGCTTGTTTGTTCTTCATGGATTGCTTTATTTTTAGAGCTGTGTTGGGGCAAAAGAGAGCAGGGTGCCTCTCTGTCTTTATTCGCCTCGGTTGATCCTGTCCAAGAGAGGTGCTCCTTCCATGGAGAGTCGCAGCACTCAGCTGGGAAAGACCAAGGTGCATGGCAAGCACCCCACAAGCTGCAGAGAGGGGAATGGGGAGCAGGCCCACAACACAGCCTCAGATGGAGCACCGATTCCTAGAGAAGACTGAAAAGGTGGCAAGGAGAGAGGGGCCCCTCAGTTTGCCCCTGCCTCCCCTTCCACGTTTGCCCAGGAATGGTGATATTTGTTCCATACCTTTTATTTTGATTTGTTGCACTCAGTGCATCTGCATTTTTGCTGTTACAGAATTTAACCTGCTTTGGTTTGTGTTATCCAGGTAGCTCTGGAGATTCAACACTCTTTAGGTATTTTTCCTGTCTTCACTTTAAAGGAAAGGTGTAGGCAGATCTCCCAGCTGCAGTTGATGCAGGATACTGTCACATAAATCAGAGCGTCAGAACATGCTCACTATGGAGGAAGGTCTGCTTTTTGATTATACTACCTTATTACCAAATATATTGCTCAAAGGCAAGTGTGGGGAGCCTTTCCCTTGCTAAAGGCTATGTAGACCTTTCAGATAACTTTGACAAGCTATACATTAAAACTCACAGTTGTGGTTTTTATCCCTTATGTTACCGTTGAACGATTTTGCTATGGGCTTTCTGAAATAAGTAGCAAGCTGTAGTCAGCCAGAGGGTTGCAGATTCACCACATAGGCTTGACAGACTAATAAGCATTCTCTTAATAGTGTCTAGGAGCTGATTCTGCTGGAACTGCAGTGTCATTTCTCAACCTGAAGTCAGGTACTTCCAGACATGCCTGCCATGCTTTCCCAGCTGTGTTAGCCATAGCAGAGCAGCCACACCTTGTTGGCAATGTTGATAACTGAGGGAATGTCTTATAGGGGGATGGCCAGGTATTATTCTGGTCCTTAACAGCCACTCAAGCTATGTCTTAAGGAGAAGAGAGGTTGTTAATGCACACATGCATCAGGATTTTGAAGCTGGGAAAAGGAAAAATTACCTTGTGAATAGAAACTAAGTGTGGCAGCTGTTCTTTGGGCTGTGTGAATCCTTTTGAAAGAAATTTGAAGGGGGAGGAGGGCAGGCAAAGGAGTCTTGAGTGAAAACAAAAGGCTTCAGATGTGTCAGAGCTTTCCCATTGATGGTTAAGTGAATGAGGTACTGAAATGACTTGTCTTTGGAGGTAGTGTAGTCTTCATCATGGGAGGCTGCCAAGGTCAAGTTGGGTAAGTGCCTTTGAGGAAAGGTGTGGGTTGCTGCTGATCCTGTCTGAGGCAGGGGGACCAAGGAGGAAACTTCTCTTCCTTCTTGTACCTCCTTGTATCTTCTACCTCCTTGGTATCCTGGGGCTTGCAACTCTGGAAAGTAGCAGTGGCCTAATCTTCTTTGCAACTTCAGAAAGTAGCAGTGGTATCTTCTTCACGATACACGGTGACCCAAACCCTCAGCATTTTTCCCAAAGAGTGTTTTGAACAATGGCAATATGGTGCTTGCAGCAACTGGTGCTTCAGTGGTGAAGGAATGCTGGCCGAAGGTTACGGGTGAGGTCTCTAAGTGTTATGTTGGAGCTTACCTCCCTCAAAGTTTGAGGGAGAAGTGTCCCTCACGTTATTAGTGACTTGTGTAAAGGAGTGCGAGAGTATGAAAACACTAATGAAAGTATATAATGGCTTTTGCAGACAATTAAGTAGGAGATAGCTTTTTGGCTCTGGAGAGAGTAAACAACTGGAAAATTATGGTCATTGGACAGCAAGAAATCCATTTTTTTGTCATTACTGTGTATTGAAGAGATCAGTAAACGACTGTTTAAACCTTGATCAGTCACCAGCCCACACAGGATCTCTTTCTTCTTCATTTAATTTCATTGCTGAGACTGACAGGTTCAAATATGAACAGCTTTAAGTATGTGATCACTCCCATCTTGAGGATTTGCCTGGCTTTTTAGTTTTCAAATCTCATTTCAGAATACATTGCATTAAATGACATGAAATTACCAAGCACTTTAATTACTTTTTTTGTTGTTGTTGAACAAACTGTTTTTATCTGTTGCTATTGCTTACAGACTCTGTGGCACAGCAAAGCATAATAGTTTGCTGGTATAATGCCCCATTCCCTAATTGTATTATGCTTCAGGATGTGAAGTTACTCAGCTATAGCTACTGAGGGATGCGCAGCACAACTTCCAGTGCCAGCACTAGCATCGGGTAAGACTCTTTCTTTGGAAATATCTCCAAATCTGCAGAGTATGGGAGGGCCAGCTGTGTGTCTTCAGCTTCTTTTGCAGGAGAGAAGCTGATCATTGATTTGGAAGTGAAGATGAATGGGTTGTATTATACTTTTAGGTGTTGCTTCTAATATTGTCAATGACGACTTGCTGCTGATGTAAAGTTTTGTAACCCAGGAAGGAGAGAGGAACAAAGGCAGGACAAAATGGAGTGAAGGATAAATTTACAAAGCTTCTAATAAAAAGAATGGTGATGAGGAAAGAATTGTTGTTTCTAATTGGAACGGACAGTGGGATCTTCCCATACAAATTACCATATCTAATTGACTTGTAGCAGAGTGCTTGCTGTGGTTTTCCTGCAGTGGTGTTGCTAGGAAATGTTGCTAGGCAACTATTCAATGACTGAACCGACCTTTAAGATAAATATATGTATTTTTTCCCCATTTTGATGTTGGAGAGCAAACCTCTATTTTGTGTCTTGTGCTGGCCTTTCTTTGGGTGGTAGGAGCTGTTTGGGCATGGGGATTTCTTAAATAACAGTCAGCTTAAGATTTGGCAGAGCTGTTTTGCAGGCACAACCTTTATGTGTAACGTTTTTAGGAGCTCAATTTCTTCCTTGTAGCATGAGCAGCAAAAGTTAGTAAATAATGTTTTGAATAATTTATCTGATTAATTTTGTGTTTTTTATTAAATAAATCATTGCAGAAACATTCTTCCTGGCTACACGGGGACAAGCAGGGTGACAGGAGAGCACAAGATGACTTGGTGCAGTCTGACAAACGGGAATTTAAAGGTTCTCGTGTTGACTAGGTCTTCTAATAATAAGACTGGTGGCAGAGCACAAAACAGAGTCGGGACCTACTGGGAGTGTTTTCTTTTTGCCAGCTGTCTTTGAAGCAAATCCCTTTGTTTATTACCATGTTTGAATGAATTATTCTCTTAATTTTTGGAATGCTTTTGCTGCTCCAAAGTGAATTATTGCATTTCTTCCTCCAGAGGAACAGTTTGAATAGTCTCTGAGCTTCATAATTTTAAAAGTAGCTCTAGTTACAGACAACTTGCAGAAAGCTACAGAGATATTCTGGGTTTTTCCTTGGCTAAGGATGAAGTTTCAAAATGCTGAGGCTTGCTGAGTGAGCACTGAATGCCAGCCTATATGGAGTCCTATATGGTGTCGCATCAGAGAACTGATACAAGGGGGCAGCGTCTGCTCCTCTGAAATGCACAGATATCTTTGAAGCTGTTGGGATCAGGTGTGCTGTCCCTCGTCAGCACAAAGCCACGAGGAGGAGGAGGATCCTGAAAGCAGAGGCAGAGCAAGTTGGTTTGTTGCTAGGAGCTGGATGGTGCTGCTCCCTCTTGCATCCCCTTGAGTAGCACAGTGGGAGGCTGAAAGAAGAGGGTAGAAGGCAAGGGAAAGCACAGACCACCTGCAAGTGCCTCTGAGGAGAGAAAAGGGAAAGCAGCCAATGTCTGCAGGGGAAGCAGGTTTTGCTCGGCTGATGCCCAGCAGCCCTACCCCATCACACACCATATGGCTCTGCCCCCTTCTCTTCTCCCACAGACCCAGACAGAGCTGTGAACAAGGATATTCACTCCCCACCTC